AAGGCTTGTACTGCGGGAAGCTGGTGTGCTACGACGTGCTCGGGGTGAGCCGCGATGCCAGCAAGGCTGAGATCGCCCGCGCCTACCGCCAGCTGGCCTTGCGCTACCACCCGGACCGGCAACGGGACCCGGACGGCGGAGCAGCGGCCGCCGAGAGCGCCCAGGAGAAATTCCTGCTCATCGCCGCTGCCTATGAGACCCTCAAGGTGAGAGAGCGGGGCCGGGACCGCCCCCTCCCTCCTCCGGTCCCGGGCGGATCCCTCCGGTAAGACACGCGTCCTCCCCTCCCCTCCCCCTTGCCCCCAACTCCCCTCTCTCCCAGCAGCGCTTCCTTCCGTCCGACGGGTCGCCTGGAGAGGATGATGGAGCAGCAGCAGCAGCTGTATGTGTGACGGGGCGGCGGGCCCCCGGGAGCCCTCCGCGGGAATTTGAGGCCCTTCCCTGGCCAGTTGGAGTTGGAGAGGGTTATACGTGGCACGGAGCCCTGTCTCGATCACGCCAAAGATCCCCACCTAGCCCGTGTGCCCAGCTCTTCCCTACGTTGCCCCCACCCGTGTATGCCCTGTTTGTGGGCTTCCCAGGGACCCGAGGTTTATGGAGGATCCATTTATCAAACGCTACGGGAACTAAACGGCCTTCTTCCCATATGGAGAGGTAGTGACACTCTGAATACAGGGGGGAAAACGAGAAAGTTTTCTTGCCTTCCTTGGCCCGCTTCCTAGTGGCATCTGGATCTAGGAAGTGGCTGGCCAGGGTTGGAAACAGACGGCTGGGCTAGATGAATCTTCTTGCAGGGCAGTTTTTGTGTCCTTGGAAAAGCAGATTTTGTCTCTGGTTTAAAAATAGGTCTATATATTTAGTGACAAGATAATAAACATTTAATTGATTATGATGACACATAGGTTTTTATGTACATAGTTTACATATGTGTGTATGTGTGTAAAGTACTATGTAGCACAATAATCACTTAAATAGACATAGTATGTGAGGGGTCTGAGCTTAGCAGCATGTCTACGATTCAAGATGTTGAAAATGATGATCAGTTCATAGATCTGTGTGTGTGCATGCACACACAGAGTTAAAATTTTGAATTACGTCTTGGGGGACCTGGGTTCAAATACCCAATTAATTGCCTATCAAGCAGACTGGGTCACATAGGGACAATCAAACCCTCTCAGCCTCTCCAACTTCACAGCCTTGTTATAATGATAAAGTGGGTAAGAGGAGAGCTACCTATCCTACCTTGCATTCACTTCAAGAAAAAATGGATATAAAAGTAACAAACACATTCAGTACTCTGCAACATTGCTGCAGGGCAGATCAGTATCATCAGCCCCTGTTGCAATTGGAAGACTGATGGTGAAAAACAGGGGTAGTAACTGAAGTCCTCATGGCTGAGGAAAAACATGACATAGGGATTTACTGATAACACAAAGGATGAGAAAATGGGAAGTCTTATAAGACATGTACATCAACCTATACAAGGCTGCGAAAAGGCAACACATTAAAAAATCCTGTGCATTGTCAGTATGGTATTATGCTGTATTGTACACAGACTTCTAGCAGCAGCGCTCAGCTATTAAGATAAATTACTGTGCAATTTAGACATGAGAAGAATTGCACCCAAAGAACGATATGCCCAAAAGAAGGTTGGACTGTTACTCTAGTCATATAGCAAACAACTTTGGAAAGAAGTAATATTTTAAATCGCCTTAAAATGTGGCACAAGAGAGGGCAACTGTGTGAACACAGGATGGAATGTCCTAGGCCCCTTCCAACTACATAGCCTTCTGGGAGTGCCTGAGGTAGCCCTTCAGGTTCAGGCACTAAGTACAACCTTCCTCTGTTGCTTCTTGGGGAATACAGCCAATCAGTGATGTCACTGGATCTAGTCCCCTGTGACTGTAATTGGCAGATTTGTTGTTTTCAGATGAGAGGCAAAATTTTAGCTTGTTGGCATTTGGGATCCTCATTATGGGAGTGGCCCTTAGTCATTTCCTCTGTGTGGGCAACATCAGGGTGTTCTGCTTCTCTAAATACTGAAATTGTCAGAAATTCGTCAAAGAGAAGAAGTCTTGTAAAGTAGCCCTGAGCCAGTGGTAAGCAACATGTAGCCCACCTGTACTCTTCTTCTGACATTTGCGTAGTCTTCCTCGCCATGGTCAGCAAAGGCAGTATTGTTAGCAAAACTTACTGGGAAACATGGTCCACATGTAGCCTTAATGTCCTCTTTCTCTACAGAATCATGTTCCTACCAGTTTGTCAGGAGCATAGGGATAACATGCTTGATGTTAAGTAATGTGTGTGTGTGTGTGTTTGACTTGCTCTGTTTCAGAATATTTATTTATTTCAAATATTTGTTTACTGCCCAACTTAGTGACAAGCACTACTCTGGGTGGTTGACAATTTAAAAAAAAAGATCCAGCAAACTCAACATCACAAAGTCAACGTTTACAACACAGCAAAAATTAAACTAGAAACCAAACCTTACTAAAACCTAAATGATGATGGAACCAGCGGACTCATATGCATAAAAACTCAGGAGAGGATGTCCTTAAAAGCTTCTTTTAAAATATAGTCTTTTTAAAGTTGGGAGAGAGGGGGCTTGACAAACCTCTAATGGGAGCCCATTCCACAAGGATGGGACCACCATCAAGAAGATACAGTAATAACTAACTAGGTGAAGGTAAAGCTAACATCTTAATTGACATTTCCAAGTGTGGGAAGGGTCACTCTTTCACATCCATATCCTTTTGTTATTACCATCATTTGTGAAGACCCTCATTTGCAGTAGGATAGCCTTCCCCCATCTGGTGCCTTTGGATGCTTTAAACCAGTGGTTCTTAACCTTGGGTTACTGAGGTGTTTTTGAACTGCAACTCCCAGAAACCCCAGCCAGCACAGCTAGTGGTGAAGGCTTCTGGGAGTTGCAGTCCAAAAACACATGAGTAACCCAAGGTTAAGAACCACTGCTTTAAACTGCAGTTCACATGAGCTTCTACCAACATGGCCAGGGGTGAGGGATCATGGGGATTTATTTGGAACATCTGGAGGGTGCCAGGTTAGAAAAGGCTGCAATAGAATGATAGACAGTGATTCATGAGAAGACAAATGGGAAGTCAGGACAAAGCTTTCAGTTCTGCAATTACAGTGAAACAGGTAGGGAACTATTGGCACAATCCTTTTGATTCTTTAGCCCCATGAGCAAGGTGAATATAGTGGGTGTCAAAATATGCAGACATTGAGTTCAGCATGGCCAAGAAACAGAAATGTGATTCTGCCCACTGACCAGTCTGGCTACTTAAAATTATAAGTGGTATGGGTATGAAGGAGGTATTATAGTGCAAGGAAGTGCTAGAATATTCCACTCTGGCTTTCATGCAACAAGCAACTGATTTTCACAGTTAGTGGGGACGAATATGTGGAAGAAAGGCTTGTACTGCAAAAGGTTTGTGGTAGATGCAGTAAATCTCTGGGATCTGTGCCACAGACATGAGTTATACCTTTCTGGGGAATGCTTGTCTGTGTGTATCCTTGGTTTCCACACTTTCTGTGGACAAGGTGTCTATCATTTTTCAGTCTTTCCCTGCAGTATGCAAACCAAGTTAAAACAAGGAGTAACTTCAGTCTGTTTCATGAAGTGAGACATAGAGTAAGCCGTACCTTCACATATAGACATTCACATAGTACAATATCAGGGCAATAGGTCTCAGACAGTCCAGCCAGCATGGTCAAAACACAGGGATTGTTGGAGTTACAATTCAAAATAGGTTGGAAAGATCAAATATGTGTTGCCTTTGAGTCAGTAGTATACTATGCCCTTTAAGAAGCACATATCACTGTATTTTGTCTTCGAAAATAACTTACATTACCAAAATGTTTATAGTTTTTTGCTTGTTTTGTTGTATTTTATCCAGCTCTGCAGTTCTAAGATTACTATATTATAATATTGTATAACTTCTGACAGTAATGTGTACAAGTAAAATGTGTAAACTGTACATCTAGGCAATATGATTTAAAAAACAATTTCTATACCTTGCCTCTTATCTTAAAATTATTGTGAAATGGGGCTTTTGTCAATATAAAAAATGGCTAATCATTATTGCAGGATGAAGAAACTCGTAAGGATTATGATTATATGCTGGATCATCCTGAGGAGTATTACAGCCATTACTATCACTATTATTCTAGAAGACTGGCACCCAAGGTGGATGTCAGAATAGTGATTTTAGTCACCGTCTGTGCTATCTCCATATTTCAGGTAAATATGTTTGTCTGCTTTTTTTTCCCCAGTGTCTTCTAGTCTGGAAAATAAGAAAAGATAAAGGTTTGGATCCAGGCCTCCACTTACACAGGAAACTGGGTGGCTAAGTGATTTATTATTATTTTTTGGATAATTATTCCTTCTACCTGGGTCCCTATGTACTTGCTGCAGAGCTGCTCTAGAGGAGTTGGAGTTTCTCTGGAATAACATGAGCGGCAGTGTGAAATGGCTACACAGCACAGGGTGAACTAGTAAACAGTCTGCCCTCCCACTGGGGGGGCCTTCTGGTGGAACTCAGTACTTCTATAAATGGGACCCTGGATCCAGAGAGCCAGTGTGGTGTAATAGAGCATTGGGCAAGGATTCATTGGGTTCAAATCCCCCCATTTGGCTTTGGAAACTTGTGAGGGGAGTGGCAAAAGTAAGCACAGCCTTAAACATCATTGCCCTTTAAGTACTCTGTGAATTACAGGAGTTGATACACTCCACATAAGGTCTAGTCATTTAGAGAGCAAACGACATTCTGCTATGGTTGATTCAAGAGTTTTGAGTCATGAACAACTACCTACCGTGTTTCCCCAAAAATAAGACAGGGTCTTATATTAAAATAAGCATTAGGTCTTATTTTCAGGGGATGTTTTATTTTTTTCATGTACAACAATCTACATTTATTCAAATACAGTCATGCCATTGTCTTATGGTTGCTGCACAATTGTGGAGGGCAGGGTTTCACTTAACTGTGGCTTATTTTGGGGGTAGGGCTTATATTACGAGCATCCTGAAAAATCATACTTGGGCTCACTTTCAGGTTAGGTCTTATTTTCAGGGAAACAGGGTAAACACCAATATATGTAGCTAGTTTTCCAATCCTACCTCTTTTGCCCCTTGTCGTCTTCCATGTGTGTTGTTTTCCTTATAATAGCCAAGTTCTAACACAAAGATAGGAACTTCTTGCAGCCTGAGGACCAAATTCAGAGTCATTTTCAGTGGCTGCATCCCAGTGATTGGTAGGGGAACAGCAACTATTAGTATATTTTAGCTTAAAGCTCTTTTTGACAGTGTCCAAGTTTGAGAAGAGACATTGTAAAATTTTAGATTGGAAAATACAACTTGTGCAAAAGCCTTGAAACCACTCAGGAGGGCCAGATTCAACCAAGGACCTGAGGTTTCTCCACTTTGGCCTAAGAATCCTGTTAGGATTTCATTTCTAAAATGTATTTTTGCAACAATTTTTACTCCCAGTCATCACCTTGGAGGTTTTTTCTGTGTCAGAACAAGGACCACTGTGCAAGATCTACCCGTGTCACTCGCGCGAGCCAGGAGGTGAGGCTAAGGAGCCTAACGCCGAGAGAGGCCCGAAAGGAAAAGACCAGAAATCGGGCCTTCTCGCCGGTGGCTCCTCGCCTTTGGAACAACTTGCCCCCTGAGATTCACACGGCTCCCTCGCTGGGCATTTTTAAGAAACAATTGAAAACACTGATGTATAGGCAGGCCTTCCCAACAGAAAACCCTTGACGATTTTTTCTTCTGCTTTGTTCTCTATCTTTACTGTGTTCTACCTGTAATGTTGTAAAAACTATATCATTGTTTTTATTGTAAGCCGCCTAGAGTGGTCGAATACGATCAGATAGGCGGGATAGAAATAAAATAAATAAATAGATAAATAAATAAATAAATAAATAAATAAATAAATAAATAAATAGTCATGTTGTATTTGATGGACTACCCCATTTTGCATTCCTAATCAGAAGCTACAAGAGCAGTATGACCGACCAGAAAGTTTCTGTTTTGTGTTATCCTTGCCCTGAAATAGGTTAAGTACAGCTGTTTCAGTTTTATTTCCTATTCTTCCCCTTTGACTTTTGAATAAAGAACTTATGTACTTATTGTTGTTCTTGTTTCTTATTTTGGTAAAGGCAAATTTCCCCTGCCACTATCTTTGTTAGGGCTATTAGAACTGGTCCATATCAGGGAGGCAGAGCTCACATCCATAAGTGAGTGAGGTCATTAACTATTAGTAATTAGTATTAGTAAAACTTCGTTTTAAGGCTGTATTCTAATCTCCTTAAAATTTAGTGACATGATATATGGAACTACATGGAAAGGGATAGAGATTTCTTTTTTAAAAATATTGAGTTCAAAGCTGTAGACATTAAGAAAACAGTAGGCTAAGTCAAATACATTGCATCTCATATACAGCCTGACTATCATAGGACTATGTGTTTGTTTTTTGTATTCTAGTTCTTCAGCTGGTGGAGTAGCTACAATGAAGCTATCAACTACCTAGCAACTGTGCCAAAATATCGCATACAGGCCACTGAAATTGCCAGGCAACAAGGGCTGTTAAACAGAGCCAAAGAAAAGGGCAAAAACCGGCGATCCAAGGAAGAAATGCGCAAGGAAGAAGAAGAAATCATAAAAAATGTAATCAAAACCAAAATTGATATCAAAGGTGGTTACCAGAAACCCCAAATCTATGACATCCTTTTTTTCCAAATTATCTTAGCACCTTTTTATTTTTGCAAGTACATAGCCTGGTACTGTTGGTGGATTTATTCCTTCAACATCAAAAGACAAGAGTATGGTGAAGAGGAAAAGTTGTACCTCATACGCAAATACATGAAAATGTCACAGTCTCAGTTTGATACTTTGGAAGATCACCAGAAAGAGACCTTCCTTGAACGCCAGCTCTGGATAAAGGAGAACTATGAGGTGAGTGATGCGGATGCATGACAGGTGAAAAAGAACCTTTTGTCTCCTGTATTCCAAAATCATGTTTATACAACTCTGGTACTACAGTAGTGACTAAGCCAAGTTTGTGTAATGTGGTTCATATAAAGATCAACAGTCTCTTTAGCTTACAAGCAGTGTTCAGTTCCCTTGTTTTTAACTCAGGTACAACAGATGATTCGTTTAAAGGCTATTTAGATTAGAACCACAAACTATTTTGTATGAATAGCTTTGTAGGCCTTTCCTGATGTTTATATTTAGTTTACACTGGTATGTATTTATTGATGTTTTGATAATTTTGAAATGATTACAAGACACTGTCAGTGCAATAGTGCTTGCAGATGTTCACTGCCGTATTCAGGTGAATTCATTGATTATGGCAAAGATAGTAGCTCTTTGGGTCAGGTGAATGATTTCTGACTTTTCTGTTAGTGTTCCATTCAACCTGGCATGTAGTCAAAATGAAAGCATCACAGCAAATTATAATAAAGCAATACACAGTCCAGTAAACTGTGGCGTGTTTAGAATTAACATCTGAAAAGTGGCTTGAAGCCAGATCTTGGCCAGTATTGTAAGCTCTGCAAAATAAGAACATCTTAATGTTCTTCCTGGTCATTGGAGTGGGGACCAGGAGTAATGTTCTTTAGATAAGTAGTTACATAGATACAGCATCAAGATGTAGAAAGCGCCACTGCTGGCACCCACAGTACAAATGTCTCTGTACAAAGTATTATTCAAAAGGACATCATTCAATATAACTCCCGCTGATACAATAGTAATTCATCATGGAGATCCTGCTAAAGGTGCAGCCAGATCTAAAAGACTGTTTTATGTGTCATAACACCATAGGCCTTTATGTTTAACTAGTGAAGCAGGGTTATCAGTGTCTGTTCTACTTGGCATTTAAAAAACAAACCAACTTACTACTGCCTAGATAAAGAGTGAGATTGGCATTGTCCAAAGAGAGTTATCGCCAAGCCCATTGTTTCCAATACCACAGAAATAACATTGTGGTTTAAGTCAGGGGTTGTCAAGCCCTGGTCTGCGGCCCAGTTCCAGTCCGTGGGCTTGCCAGAACTGGGCTGTGGATACGGATCTCCACCCCCCGCAAGCACCCATGGTGGGCGTGTCACGCTTGCGTGGGGAGCGTGTCATTTTCGTGGTCCCCCTGTGTTGCACCTGCAGTAGGCGTGTCGTGTGAGCATGTTACCCTCATGTGCATGCCAACATGCCCCCCACGAGCACAACATGCCCATCACGTGAGCATGACGTGCGGGCATGTCGTGTGAGCATGTTACACTCATGTGCATGCCAACATGCCCATCACGTGAGCATGACGTGCCCACGCCCCACACACACACATGGAGCTCACTCCCCCCAGCCAGTCTGCACCCCCAAAAAGGTTGGGGACCACTGGTTTAAGTAACTGAATATGGAGCCAGAGTTGGGAGTTCAGTTTCCCATTGTGCCTCCTGAGAGAAGAGCCAGCCTGTGTGGTCATGGGCAAGCTACACAGTCCCAGGGCACCCCCAGAAGAAGTGGATGGTAAAACCACTTCTGTGTATTCTGTACCTAGAAAACCCTGAAAAGGTTTCCATCAGTAAGAATTGACTTGGCGGCACACGATCATTTTATTATTGTACTGCTTAATGCCCTAGGTAGCCAGCAGGACAGATATTGTTTTGATTTCGTACAACAGGCATAGCCATACTTTGCCCACACATGTTGTAGAACATGTGCAAGCTTTGTGAATATAAAAGGCCAGAAAGTGAAATTTTGAATATATTTCAGAATTAGCATATTACTTTCTCTTAATATATTAACAGTTGTGCAGTATCAATACTTAGGAAAAATCCCATTTTAGTTCCAACTAGAGTTAGATCTATTAAATCAGTGGGACTTACACAAGTATTGACTCTGACGTCCCATTTCATTATAATGGTTCTGTTCTTCCTGTGACTAAAACTGAATTTAATGCGTAAGACTCAAGATTACTATATGAAAAATGCTAAGGAGAGTCTGCTTTCCCCAATACACAGTTCTTTAACCTCTTGCTGTTAATATATTTTCACCTGTTTCAGGAGAGCCAGTTTATCCTTTTTTAGTTGAAGGTATTAATATTTTGTAGTTTAGTTTTGTTTAAAGTATTGATATACGTATTGCATAATACTTTCAACTATACAAAATTTAGCTTACATGAAAGTATTAATATTCTATAGACTCTTCTATATTTCAGATTGGCCCATCTGCACTGCCGTCTACAAATATCTGTAGGTGCTGCTGTGCAGTGAGGATTGCTGTTTTAACTTCATAGTTTCTTTCTCTTCAGCTTTACAAGCAAGAGCAAGAGGAAGAACTGAAGAAAAAGAAGGCAATGGACCCTCGATGGAAAAGATACAGACGATGGATGAGGAATGAAGGACCTGGAAGATTGACTTTTATAGATGATTGACATTTATTGAAACATGTACAGTCCTGTTAAAGATGATTGGCAAAAAAAATTATACCTACAACATTTGGAGTTTAACTGCTGTGTCTCAGCAGTGTTCTAAAACTCAGGAATTATTCAATCAGGCTGAAACCTAATAACATTTTATGATTTTTATATGTTATAATAAGGGCAAATTTGTTAAGCAGACTTAATTGTTCTGATGTTGAGCTAGTATTGAATTAAAACTAAATCTGAGATGGAGCTGTTAGTAATCTTTCTATTGGTATGACAGTGAACTTTACGGTGGGACCTATGAATACTAAGATCAGTTGGCCTAAAGCTAGGTAGAAGTATTCAAGTCATGGAAATTTTGCTATTTAAGGCAAAACCCTGTTTGTTTCCTTTCTTTTTTAGCCCCTATAAAAAAATCAAATTCCTGTAATGAAATTTCCATTGCTTTATGTATGACATGGAATTCTCTAAACTTCCTATTTTATTTTTGTTTAAATGGCTGAAGCCATATGAGCACTTTTATGCTACTTCAGAGGCAAAGGAAGATTTTCTATGCCAGTAGGCAGCATTAATAGCATTGTTGACCAGCTTATTACAGTTCAGAATTTTAATGCCATTATTTAAAAAAAAAACTACAGAGTATGTACACTGTCTCATCTAGTATTGGTCTGGGTTAGGTAACTTGTTCATTTATTGAAACACAACTCTCATAATTCCTCATGATGGGCTGTTGTTCTAGAAAACAGTGCAATAGAGAAGTGTATATATTTTGATCAGTCAAGCATACTTAGAAATAGCCTTTCAAGCTGAATCAAATTACATGATCTGTAGAAAGAGCCAGGGGTGGAAGAATCTAACTTCTGTTAGGAAATATGATAAGAACTACTACAAAATCTCCAGTATGTGGTAAATTTGGACAGTGGAGTGTCACTGTGTATAAAAAAATTTGCTGACCCTACTTTGTAGCTCTGTTTATGGGCTATACAGAAGTCGCACTTTCTAGAAAATACAGTACACCATATATTTTTAGGTTCGACCTGCCAGTTTTTATTGTGACGCTCTTATATGGTCTTTATCGAACTGGATCAAGAGTTCTGATGAATTAAGTTTGAATGAATTTGGTTTGAATTAAGCTTCATTCTGACCAAGGACCTTGAATTTTCCCACTAGAAAAAAAACCTAATTTCTAACATTGTTTGAAATATGACATGAGATTCACTCCCACTGAATGTACATATGTTAAGAAATTATTTCTGTTAGCTTCACAAGCCCTGTATTTGTGGTAGAAGCAAACAATGCACTTGAGCAAGTTACATTTAGAAGTTATTTCCCTTATATACACACACAAACATAGGCCTGTGTGAAAACTAGCATCTTCTTAGGTTGATGTATTAATGCAAAATGTGGGGAGGGTGGGGATTGTTGAGCCAAAGCAGTAACCCAAAGCCAAGTACAAGACATTCTTGGTGTGGGGAAATTCTTGCAGATCCCAACATCTTGGAGGGTCCATATTTGTGCAGTTTTATTAGCCATATGGTGACTAAGGGTTGTGGAGAAGCAAGAAACGAAGTCTAGCAAGAAACAAAATGGACAAGGAAACTTACCTAACAATATGAAATATGTTTCTTTTGGGGGGCATTTGAAGAAGATACTGTTACTTTTTTTTTAATTGTGAGCTGTGGCAAATTACTTCAGGAAGTGGAAGGAGAATCAATGTAGCACAGTAACTGGTGGATTAGTACTTTTGAGGCCTGGATTCAAGCCATCGCTCAGTCAGGATACTGGGCAGGTTACTCTCTCTCGGTACACACTAACCAAATTCACAGGCTACTGTAAAGCCAAAGAAGGGTGGAGGAGAACTAGGTACACTGTTTTCAGCTCAGTGGAAGAAAAATAACACACAAATGTGAAAAAACAGCAAAGGATTGCAGTAAATGTCTAGTTTAGATTATGGAAGGTCACTAGTATGGAAGCTCATTGGGTCCTAAGTTTGTAGTGTAACATTATTAAACTTCTATTTCTTGAGCACTGCCTTCCCTGAAAATGACAAAGGAGTGAAGATGAGGATGATAGAGGATGTCCACTTTTCTTCAACAACATTCAAGTCCCAGCCTGTTGGTTACTGTGGAGCTCTATGACTAGCTGTATGTAACAATAACCGGAGATCCCCTCTTCAACAAATATCCAGGCCTACATGGCTACTGCTCTTCTTGCTATCCTACACAGTAACTGAATTTCCATCACTTCCATCACCTTCTCCTCTCTCCATAGTTGGAATATGAAGACAGGTTGAGAGCTCACACTGCACCTGACTCCCTATGGCTGTCCAATTACTAAACTGTGATGGGTGTTATTCTAGTATTCATTAATGTCTGGTCTTAACTTCGAGAAGAGTTAGACCAAGGAAGACGACAAACGTGGCTTGAGTCAAGATAGACTGGAGAAACGTTCTGCATGGAATTGCTCATGCCTTTCTGATGCAAGTCTGTGTGCCCATAACTGCACAGTGACAGGTTATATAACATGGAAGAAAAGGGGCTGGATTGGTGTGAGAGGAAGCATTAAACTGAAGTTGGTTGAAGGCTCTTCCTAATGGAAGCAACAACCTAACTGATCTGACAGTGGCAACTGGAGAATTCACGTAAATTAAGTGACCAGAAATAGGTGAGGTGAGACCAGATGGAAAACTGAGGGGAAAAGTAACTGTGAGAATATAATGTACAGCTGGTTCCTCCTAAAATTGACTTTGTCTAGGGTCAGTTTAGGTAATCTGGCTATGGTAAAAAGGCCCCCAGAGGCTTTTCACGGCACCAATTTTATCTTTAAAATCTAGCATCAAGCATTTCTTGAAAACTATAAATTAGCTAATGCTGTTCTTTCCTATAAAATATTATTAATAAATAATTTAGACTGTTTCAGTCTAATAATTTAGGCTGCCTCAGATGACTGCATTTCATCTCATGCCTAAATTTAGAACACCAGGCAACCAGGAAACTGACAAATTGGTAGTGATAGCAAAGAGTTGTTCTCAACGACCAGTGCTTCAAAGATGATGAAGAATTTTCAATAAGTTTTAAAACATTATCTTCAGTTAAATACAGCCTGGGTAATACAAAGGCCTTAACATTACTAGCTCTCTTTTAATTTTTGTTGCGCAATAGATGAGAAATCTGTTTCTCTCGCCATAGTCGTTTTTTTGCTTACAAAACAAAAGTTTCCAGTTCTCCAGTGTTCATTCTCAAGGCCTGGGTCAGGATCACAACAAAAGGCATGAATCATGGCTGTACCATTCACGAGATTCTCCACTGAGAAGAGAGGTGGTGGTGGTGGTGATGATGTCTAAAGGCAGAGAGGGAAGCTGGGCAGCAGAAGTTGAAGGCAGAAATGCAGGCTGTCCAAATGAAGCTGGGAAGACAGAGCTTTGTCAAGATTTGGAGATTCCTGCCAAACAACAAGCACTCACTAGTGTTTTCCACCTGCCACTGTTACTTCTAAAACTCAAAAAGGAAATAGTGTCACACAAAGTGCAGAATGACCCAGATCTCTCTCCCTGGAGGATTTCCAGCTGTTTTACTCATTGCTCATAGGATCTTAACATGCTCCTACTCTGCTAGGGTAGGATAAATAAAAATATAGACAGGGAAAATTTCGTCCCTTGTTTGACAGGACTGAGACACCGTCATGCCACCCTGGCAACTGACTTCATTCGGGACTGCAAAGGGACTGGAGACTTGCCAGGATAAGAACACAATGGCCCTGAATATGAGGGGCTGAACATAGTTATGTTTATGCTAAAGGCACAGTGACAACAAAATGACACCTTTGCTCTCCTAGGAAGGAGACACCCCACAAGAAAAATATAATAGAATATTTTAGACATACTGTATAGGAAAGATACCATAGGGCAGAGGTGCCTAACCATTGGCACTCCAGAATTCCCACCCTGCATTGCCAATGATAAAGGACTTTGAGTTGTGGTCCAAAACATCTGGAGTGCCAAAAGTTCACCGGCCCTACCATGAGCATTGTTAAACAATAAACAGTGGCACTTGGGAGAAAACTCCTGGTTTTACTGTCAAAATCAACTTACAGGGACCCCACAGGGCGTTCAGGTTAAGTGAGATATTTAAAGAATGGTTCTAGCAGTTCCACAACCACAGTGAGCTTCCATGGCTGAGTGGGGATTCAAACCCACACCTCCTGAGTATTAGTCCATCATGCTATCCACTGCACCACACTGTTTTACTGCTTCCTCATAAAAAAACCACATACATGTGGAAGAAACATGGCTCTCTCTTTTTTCCCTGCATTATGCCTGCCATTCCAAACCATTCTCTGGCTCTGTAGCCCATATTGAACAAGAGGGAGGAAACCAGATTTCTATTGTGGAGGGAAGCCCAAGTGAGGACTCGCTGGAAATAAGCAGAATGAATACACTTCAAAATTTCTAGCGAAAGATAGCTGAAGAATATACACGGGCCAGAAACATGTAATCATCAGGCCTCCCACAGGGTTCCGATAACTTCATTCCTAGTTACTGAGTAACAGATGCAAACCTTGCTGCTGAACAGTGTGTGGGCAAATGCTGGTGCCCACAGGCTGCAGAGGCAGAACATCTGAAGAAAGCATGAGGGTGGTGGTGGTGGTGAATTTCAAGGACATAGTACCACTAGGCAACTCTCTTGTAACCTCCCTACAGTTGAATCCAATTAGCTTCTGTGTGCCTTCTTGTCTCAGAAGCTTGGGAGAGTGAGATTACCTGGCCTAGGAAGGGCTGCCCTGCCTATCTAGAAGGCACTCGGCCTAGTTTGAGCGGCTTCCTGTGAATTGGTAAGTACAAAGGGCATGATTATTTATCCTCACACTTTGGACATAAGGGAAGCTATTTCTGACAGAAAACCAGACGGATGGTTCACTTTGGCCACTATGGTTCTTTCCATCGTTATTAAGCAGCTGTTTCTAGCAAAAAGGTTATTTCATCCTGGAGGAGTCAAAGCAAGCAGCCACTTATGGAAGGTATGCTACAAACCTTCTCAAGTCATCAACATAGGAGGTTGGACCAAAGTAACCATACGTTAATACAGTAGTAACAAATCTAGTTTGGCCACCTATCTTTTATTTGTTCTCAGAATCAAAGTGTTTGCCTTCTTTACTTGAGACACTCTTTTCTTAGTCAGCCTCATGACTAAGTTCGGCTGGTGTCTCCTTTGAGCTGAAAATACAAGGAATAACCCCTCCCCCCCTTTGAA